CTTCAGGAGCTTCTGCAATGCTTTCTGGAGCTGAATTCTCCACGTCACCACGATGTTATCGTCAAGGCGTTCATGGAGATCTGGAATCAGGTTACCTGCCAGGAGATTGTTACAGTAAGGGAGGAACCATGTGTTGTTGTTCATGGAGAGAAACATGGATCCTAGCTAAGCGTTTGGCACGTGTGGAGATGACAACCATGTGAATACATTGAAATCGCTCGTGTGAAACTGCATGGCAGTTGGTCAAAGTCTGGGTGCTATGTGGTAAAGAAAAGATGGTCTATATATGTATTAGAAAGATTTTTGCGTATAATATTCAACATAATATGTTAATAGGAAGAGATATTTTCTTTTTGTTTCAATATAATAAATAAGCAATTTATAAGAAAAGTTGTGACTTATGATTTTCTTTTTATAAAATAATGTAATCATAAAAATACAGAAAAAAAAAAATCAAAGTTCAAGAATTGCATATAAAACTAACTGTGAAGTTTTTAATGTTAGTGGTTGGCTACATTTGTTGCTTTTTTGAGGATTTATCAAAGGGGGAGATATTTTGGCCCTACTGCATTTTCCATCACTCTCAAACGGCTCCTCACTTCATCTCATATTTGCTTTTGCTTTTGTTGGGTTGTTAGAAGGAGTATTCAATTGTCCTTTAGTGCTTGCTGTAATTACATGGACTATGATCAAATCAGAGAGGGGCTCCACCATCCTGATTAAGCTTTTCGGCCATTCATGGGGAACTTTATGAGGCCCATACCATAGCCTCCTCAAAACTTTTCATTAATTGTTTCAAGGAAAACTCTCATGAATCTTTTGTATAGATTAAGTCTTGAATCAAATAATAATCACATAATTCAATATGGATTATCTATCATCATCAAATTAACTTTCTATCTTTTGATTTTCCTTTTGAGTTAGAATAAAGGCATGGCGAAAGTTGAAAAAGTATATATGACTGAACATAAGGAGTTTGCATTTGTTGTCAATGTGAAGATATGGGGATGCAAGTTTAATTTGTTTAGGAATTCAAAGGTTTCCTTTAATTTCACTTCTAGCAATCGAACCCTGGTTGGTATTCTTTGAACAGAAGTTTAATAAAGTTAGGTGATTTTGAGGGCACCGTGGGCGCTAACATACCTGCCTTGACATTTGAAAATATAATTGCTTTTGCATAAAAAAGATATATAGAACATTTTTTTTTCCAATTTTTTCCTTATAAAATTTAAGAATTGCCAGCTATGAACTCAAATCTTTCCCCTTTTAGATTTAAGTATGATGAATAGATGAGTCATTATCCGAAACTATTTATTTTGTATTCATATATCTGAAAAAATGTATCTGGATGGAGAAGTACTATATATTTTATCCTTTTTTTTTCCTTTTAAATTGCCCTTTTGATATATTCTTCAATAGGGGGATAGTCTTTCTTTGATTCCTTGTTTTAATCAATTACTTGCAGAATACAGAACTCCACCCCAATTCAATCCACCAAATCAACCGTGACGGATTGTCAACAAATTTTCGAATCTGATGGGGCTTTCTCATTAACATCCAAACTAAGATCACATATACATGTATGACATGAATAAGAAAGGAGAAAAAAATGAACATTATCACATATATAGTGGCCTCTCGTTGCCACAAGCAACCCTTTGGATCAAATTTGAGATTTCCTGTCTACATTAACAGACAGTTCATGGGGGCTCTATTTTATTTTCTCTATCACGGTACATGAGTTTATAGAGCTTTCCAAATGCAGGATATATAACATAAAAAGAAAAAAAATTAAAAATTTATTGTATAAACATTTAACTTTAATTATATTTGAGTTAAAAAAAAAAAGAGAAACGTGATTATATCAATTCCAAGCACCCTTATTCTAAAGCGATCTCCCTTAGCAAAATTATAACATTAAGAATATATATATACCCTAGGATTGGACATGGGTTTTGAAAGGTGTACTTTATGATTATCAATTTACCCTTGCTTATAAATTGAGATTTTGGTATATACTTAATTTCTAGAAAAGACATATATAGTAGTTGTCATTAGTAGGTGAATTTACTTTTTTTGTTCAAAAATTAAAAGAAAACAAGAAGAAAAAGACAGAAAGAACTTTTGAAACCAATTTTAATTATTTGGGTTTGGTATCCTATAACAAATTACTTTAAGTAGTATATATTCTTTTATATTAATTTTTTAAAAGAAAGAGTAAAATTTTACAATACATGACAGTTGAAGAGGGATGATGTAAGCTTGCACTTAAAATGACCCTAGATGAGTTAAATGACTTGATGAATTTTGTACAAGTTTGAGGGGAGGAGTGCATTTTAATGAGTTGAAGCTTAAGGTGTTTTCCTCAAAATTTTTCTTGTTGAAAATCTTAACAAAATATTATAAATTGTTAATTTTCCTTTCTCGTTTCCTCTTATTTTCTTTCTTTCTTTCTTTCTCGTCCAAATTTTGTTTTCCTTCATGACATACAAGACAAGCTATTAACACCAGTACCAATTAGTTTGGGTTAGACCAAGGCCATATATAAATGAAACGTATGCACGTCGAATCAATCGCCACTTTCTCTATTCACTTACAAAATTAAACTTGTTGAGCTTTATATAGTTTCTATTTTGTTATTTTTTTTTTAAATGCATGAATTTGATTAATATATTACTGTACGGTAATGAGGTTTCTCTTTGGAACCTTCTTTCCCCGTATACAAAAACAGCCTGCATCTAAACAAAATCTCAACTACTCTTTACAGTGACAACCCCTGCACCAAATGAAGAAGAAAACCGATCCCCTTGCAGACAACCCAGCCGTCCCGTATAACATACAAAATCATTAAAACAAAGGCCATTCAGTAGAATCCATTTAGACTGCTACCCCTAATGTGCCAACCAAGCAGGAACAAAAGAAACCAAACCAAGTGGGACAGTATCGTCCCTTAATGTGCCAATCACAATCAGTGAGAAGTCGGTGTGGCCAAGGGACCATCACCCATTCCATTATCCTCAGCAATCACCCACAGCAAACTTTAGTTCGTAGCAGTTAGCACCCCTTCCTTAGCTAAGTCTCAGCGGCTTCATTTGCAGATCCCAATATGTGTTTAATGTTCCATCCCATAACATTGTCAAGAAGCTTGAGAGTTTGCATGATTAATGGCCTTAATTTTCATGGCACTTAAGCAGGCTTTCTGACAACTTTACTAAAATCGCATTCAAGGAGAAGAGAGTGGGCTGAATTCAACCTTGAAGCTGCGTAGAACAGTGCTGCCTCCTTCACCACAATAAGTTCAGCTTTACTAGCATGGGTAACACCAATTGTCTTAAGAGAAAAAAGCAAGAATGCCCTCATTTTCATTTCCCAAAATACCACCATTTCCATATTCCCCTGGACAACCTTTTGATGCACCATCAGTATTGAACCTAAGAACGCCTCTTTGAGGCCTAGACCATACGTTAACTTTCTTGACACTCTGGACTTTAATTGGTATGATGCCTTCATTTAGGAATCTAGCGAGGTCTATAGAAGGATTAAGGTTGAGTTATTTGCGTTCATCCACCATACAACTCTAATTTTAATGAGTTCAAAAATTTTGCTGCCATCTCGTTCTTTGTGTCTATTTATTTTGTCAATTTATTCTGTTAAATTTAAAATTAATTAAAAATATATATTATAAAATAAGATATGCTCTATTGATATGATACAAATATTATATTGATTTGAAAATTTGTATGTATGATAAACATTAAGATATTATTAAATTTATAGTTGGTTTTTAAAAATATAATTCTTATAAAAAGTTATAAAAAAGTGTAAGACTTGTTAGTTTTACACTGGTGTTAACTTGATCTTTTCATGTATATGTATAGACACATATAACTATATCTTATATATGTAATTATGAAATAAATTAAGAGCTCAATAATTTAAGAGTTTTTTTTTCAAATATAATATATTTACTGCACCAGAATATTTGGCTCATTGGTAGGTACATTATCCCTGCCTAAAAAGCAAGGTTCGTATCCATCTTCCCCAATTATAAAAAAATATATATATTTACTTAATATATTTACTTATTAAAATTGACTTACATTCAAGTTTCGAATCCCCTCCCTCAATTATAAAAAAAATAAATAATATTTACTTATTTATAAGAGATAGTCAATTATCATTAAAATTGACTTATCTTCAAGTTTAAGAACAACAAATATTGGTAAAGTAGAAGCATAAAGCATTTTTTTAATAATATTACATGCATAAATAAATAGTAATTATAATCATAATCATATATTACATCTTATATAAGAAATTACTAAACAGACAAATCAACCAACAAATCACAAATAACTCAAAAAAAATCAACTAAAAGTTGGATCAAACTCAAATTTGATAAAATTTGCATCTAAGACCTCAAAGATTTCAAAGTCTCCTCCTTACTATCGAAACAAATCCAATTGACATGCATGGATCTCCTTGCCATATGCATCTATTTGGTATTTAATAGATAAAATGTCACTACCAAATTTATCAATAACATTTTGAAACTAAATTCATTATAATTACATTCAAACACTTGACTCAATAACAGATGCAAATGTAACTTATTCTTATAAAATTGAGTTCTAATTTTACTTCTTTAAATAAAAAGAAAATCTCTTACAATCACTATATAATTGCGCAATCCTTCCTAACATAACAAAAACCCGACAAAATAAATAGCTTGCATCCAAATTAAGGTCATGTGGTGTGGATATATAGTGTCATGAACCTCCTCGACTTTTTTCCTTCTTTAAATAAAGTTTGGCGTAGAAACAATTATTATATATGTAGTAAATAATGTTGGAAAAGTACATTATGGATATCATATCAGTCCCTTAGCAAGGTTCAAACAATTTGAAAACGAATTACAATATATGAAGTGAATAATGTTGGAAAAGTACATTATGGAGATCCATACAAACCGGGAACTTCCTTGGAACCATATCTGAGCTCTATTCTGCACGTTTTTCCCTTCTCAGCTTATGGTCGAAGGCTTTCATCCCCAGTCTTCCTCGCACTAGCCTCCTGTTCTGGAAGATGAAGCTGAAGAAGCAGAAATAAAACTAGAAGAGGAATATGAATATACGGTGGCAAACATGTCGATGAAGGCTCCCACTATAAAGCCATGGTTATTTTTTCTATTCATCTTCAAGTACCAAGCCAGTAACTCCTCTAGATGGTCCTGATCTTTCAGTTCACAAGCCTCAACAATTTCTTCCATTGAAATTCGAAAATCCATGTAAGGATCCCCTGTCTCTAAGGCCAGTGCTACACAATCCTTGAAAGGGAACCTGGCTGCCTCTAGTATCGAATTCGTGTTGCCTGGCTCAAAAAACAGCCTGTCTGATCTCAGTGCCTTGCTAGCCATCTCGAGCAGTTCTTCAGAATCTTTTGGCACTGATAGGCAAGTTCTTGACTGGGACCACGAGGAGTCCAGCACTGAAATAAACCTGGCAGTGTCTGATAAAACAGAATTGGAATTCTTTATAGGTTTGGGCTTGTTTATGAATGAAATGGCTTTGAATTGCTTAAAAAGTGACAATTTCCATGTTCCTTTGGTATTTGGTTTCTTGCAGATGAAAGGAAGCTTCATCTTCTTGACCATTAGGCTTGTCTCAAGGAGGCTGCATTTCCATGCTCGCTTGACTGAGTTTCCTTTTATATTGCCCGAGTTAAATGCAGCGTTAATCGTTTGCTAAGAGTAAGGTGAAGCAGACGAAGGTTTGTTGGGGGTCTTCATTGTGGCTTCATCATAAAAATTCAATTCGTAGGGGTTTGTTTGGTCTGAAGAGACGGAAAATTTTAATCATGTCAAAAGTTCAATTCGTAGGTGTTTGTTTGGGGTAAGTGATTTTCTTGCTATCGATCCACGGGCGGCTAACGAGGTCTTAGAAGCAGCCAGCTAGCTAGAACTAGAAAGGATAGCTATAAATATCCCTTCAAGTCCAAATTCTTGGTGTATGGTTTTAATTGCTCATTGTCAAATACCTTTTTAAAATTAAAATGTTCCTTTATTTTATTTATTTTTTCTATTTTATCAAAATTAGGTTAAGTTAATTTAGTGTTGGTAAAATCATAATATTATAGTCAACAATATAATTTAATAAAGTGGGTTAAATTTCAATATTAAATGTGCATGTGTAGGAAACTCTAAATGATGTGGGACTGACAATTTGAAACCCTAAATGATGTGGGACTAAAAATTTAAGTAAATTGCTAGATCACTTAGAGAGTTATTAGAAAAGAAGGAAAATCCTAATCCACTGAATCTCAATAGTTAATTGCGTCAAATATTATTTTCACAGTCAATTCATGTATCAATAATCATATGTGCTTTGTATTTTAAATTCTTTCATCTTAAATTAGTACAAATTAATTATACATAAAGTTGAACACTTCTTTTTGGTTTCTTTGTAGTTTTATTTTTGTCTCCAACTAAATAGAAAGAAGATATATATATATATATATATATGTGTGTGTGTTCTTTTTTCTAAGTACTTTAAAGTAATAACTTTAAGTCCAATAACAACCATTTCAGTTGAACTTGAATTGCTAGAGAAATTAGCAGTAATTTGTTCACTAAATTTCTGTTGAAAACACAGAGAATTCATGTAATTGCACGTGATGAAGACGAGCTCTGAATTAATGTAATAAAGGAGGTAAGAGGGAGCTGTCCTTGAAGAAAATAAATTCAAGTACCGAACTGTCCTCGGATAATAAACCATGCAGGATCCGTTGAGCAAATCTGATCTGCCTAGGTTTTGTTGTGAATCCCGATGAGAAGAATTACCGGGTTGTGCCTAAAAATCCCAAGTCCAATCAATATGAGAATTTAAAATACCAAGTTATTGATAAGAAAAGGGAGGCTGCTCGTTGAAGAGATTGTCCAGTAGTGAAATTTAACCTTGTTTTGTTTATTTAAATATATATATATATATATATATTTCATTATGATGAATATAACAGCCATCCAAATAACTTCACCAGTCTAGAAATTATTTTTGCAACATTTCATTTTACTTCCTCTGTACTCAAAATTTAATGCTCCCGCAGGAGCCTCCTACATATTTATGCTCATTTAAGTACTAGTCATTTAACTCTTGGTGTTTGTTCTTCTTATTAATTCTTTCAGCTGGAAGAATTTAGGGGAGCTGCATAACAGCTTTTAACTTCTCCAATAAAGGCTCTTCAGCAACAGTAATGCCAATGGCTATTTAAGTGAGAAATTTTGGAAGATTTCAATGCTATTTTTTGGCTGCCAGTTGCCCACTACATTGATATGTTATGTCAAAAAATTTGTCCAAATTATTTAAAAGCTAGCTTTCCAAGAAGATCAATAACTCACCTCATGTTTCAATACCTATTATATACGTGTATATATCCTAAATAAATATTGTTTGCTCATATAATATTGTACTGTTATTTCACCCACAGATAAAGCTGTGGAAAAGAATTTGTTCTGATTCTTTACTTGGTGGAGATTGTCTCCTAAGAGTATGTTTTGTTCTTTCTTCTTTATCAAAGGCATACATTAACAACTGAAAAATGTAAGAAAAAGTGTAATATGTGTGCCCAATGGAGGAATCAGAATTCCGATTTGCTTTTAGGGACAATTGATTCTGCTACACTAAACTCATAAAACACAGCCTATTCTATCATAATCATCGGCATTTCCCCCTGAAACATGGTCAACTTGATCTGTGTCCATACTTGATTTGGTGTAACGAGTGGAGGAATGGATAGCAAGTATAACAAAACTCCAACTTTTCTTACGAAGTTAGAAGGACCAAAAAGAAAACAAAATGTGATGTTTGAGAAACAAATTGAAACTTCATACCAATTTATGCATCATATCTTATCAATCACGAAAGTGGAAAGAGTTCAAGGCTTATTAGGGAAGAAGATATTGACTCCGTAAGTACACACCTAAATAAATAGGCTCTCAACAGGGGTACCAGAGGCAGAGAGCCGAAGCCTGGGAAAATGAGAGAAAGGAAGAAAAAATCAGCATGATGTTATTCAGCAATTGATCTCTAACTAAATAACAATAAAGATTGATTAAGAAGGAAATAAAAGAAGAAGATGTTTCTTCCCGCACTGAAAAATGATACATCTTTTTCCGCATGCTGTGGAGGCTGGGACAACCGGATAAGTTATAAATCTTAGGCATTAAGGAGAAACATGTGAAATTAATATGGCATTTACTTAGCAGTGCTGGCATAAATTATGCTTTTACTCACCATTAGGATGTGCTGGTTTTTCAGTTTGCTTACGACACAAACTTTCCATTTCTTGAGGAGCTAGAAACCTTGTCATAAGACCTGTCTCTGACTCTGACCCACCTCGAATTTGGCACTCTTGGAAAGGATTTTCAGCTTGAAACCTACCCAAGATAACCACAATCGGTCACTTAGGAACAACTTCTTTCCTTCATACCTTCCCTACTAGTGGAGTATCGGTAGAACATCCCTGTTGCATGCATGGTAATATAATAAGACTTGATGATTATTAATTGATAAAAAAAATAACTCATTTAAGATGCTAACTTATTGAAAGGAACATCAGACTCCATGATGGCAAACCAAGATCAATTTGAGAGCTCTTGGATTTTCTGGTGTTCACATATCAGCAAACACTGTTAACAGGACTTTGCGCAATAACTGGAGGCTTAGTGATAGCATGTTTGTTAAAGAGTTTCTCGTAGAAGAGCTTTTCTTGTCCTTTTCGCTGCTTGGCAGTATTGTTTTCTCGTGTAGCAATTTTCGCGTTGTTTTGGATGAATAAAATTTCAATTATTAAGAAAAAGGACGCTAACTTGTTTAATTATAGTGAAAATATAAGATTGAATATTGATCTCGGTTAAAAAAAAATAAAAGAACAGGGCGTATTACCATCAGCATTTGACATTTTCTACCTTGGATCTCTTTGATCGGATGGTCATATATTCACATAGGAATTCAGGAATCCCAGGTTTGAATCCTTTGCAACCAGCATCCTAAAGCAGCACACCCAAACAGTAATTCTAGTCATATGCATTTTCCTGTGGCTACGGCCTACGAGGGAAACACAAGTCAACAGTCAATCAGGCTTAAGGCAGAGAAAAAGATTGTTCCAAGGATGGTCAGCTGTCCTCACCCATATTATTTGTTACTTAATTTGAAAACTAAAACAGTCTACGCCTAGCCCAGAAGACAAAAGAACTAAAAGCTTTACTTATGGTTTGAATAAGGCATGATTTATTCCCAAGTTTCTCGTTTTATTTTTTCTTATGGCTTTTAAAGATGTCAATAATTATTTAACCAAAAATTTAATCTTTAATCTGGATTATATGCTGAATGCAACTACCTGTTCTAAAGAAGAATTGGACACATCTTGGTTTGCTGAATAAAGAAAACATATTACAAAATTTTCAACTTAATCAATGAATTAAATAGAATTATAGTTGAATAATTCTACAATTTAATGAACAAAGTTTAATAAACTTCTAAACCATACAACACACCGGCATGCTTTTCCGGTCCATCCTTGACAAAATACACGTCCCTCATTTTCTGAAACGCATGCCACGTCAGCAAAGAATCGGACCCCGCTTGGTGACATTTCCCAACCGCCCGGTTCACATCCAGGGTCCGAGCCACCCGGTCCAACCCACCGTACAAGCTCTTGCAAAATCTCATCATGTGCTTCACGTCATAAACTCTGTTTCCGAAAAACACCCTGAGAATCCTCAAAAACTCATCTAGGTCCCCGGGCAATTCCCGGCGCGTCAGGATCTTAACCAGGTACCCGAAATCATATGCGCTGTGAAAAGTCACCCAACTCACTGAATCATTACACACGAGGCCAGACGACATCATCAACTCAGCGAACCGTACCGAGTCAATACCCTTTTCCCTGTTCTTCTCAAAATCAATCCCTTGCCGTCTCAAAAGCTCGATCGAATCAGGGGCGTGAGCGTCACGCTCCACATCGAAGTCGCTGAAATTGAATTCCCAGATGAACTGAGTTTCGGTTCCGAGGTTAGGCAGATTACCTGAAGAATCAGAGAGGGTGAGGCCCACCTGGATCAAATTCAAAGCATCAACGTTGGATTTGAGGAACTTGTAATGGTCAGACGGTCGGAGTTGGCCGTGGTAAGGCCTAGAGGAGTCCACTTTCGGTTTGATAACAAGACCCGGAAATTCGGTGTCCATAGAAATGAAAGGGTACTCGTCAATTACCTGACTGATCAACTCGATCTCCGATTCCAAGTTATCCGACCAAACTTCCCTTATCATTACAGGCTTTGAACTCCTGTGTGAATCTTGAAACCCCATGTCGGAAAATCACAAAACTGAAAGTAAGCTTAATCTCTTTCCCCTTTCTTTTGGGTTAGTTTTTGTTTAGTGTGGAGACAGGGTGAGGGGAAGGGATATATAGTTGCTAGGAATAAATGGGGGCCTTTGAAGATGTTGCTTGGAAGGTGGTCAAAGTGAGAGAGAGAGAAAGAGAGTTGGAGTTGCCAAAGAAGCAAAAGAGGTTCAACGCGTTGGGTCATTTTTGACTGGGAGGGGGGGGGTGCGAAACAGTGTACATAGTCCATAGACTTGGTCCTACTTCCAAACT